GTCACATGTTTATGTAGCTTTAAACATTGGTTTCTAACTTAAACACAATACTTTCGGGAAACCGTTTGAAGTTCTTCGTTGCTGCATTCTGATCGGTTTTGCGAGCAAGCAGGCATGAGTGGGTGTCTGACGACATTTCAGGCTTTTGAAAACTGAAACTTTCCGCAACAAAATTCAATATGAAATGTCACCAATGAAATCGACAAAAATGTCCGAAGGAGATCATTCAACATTAAAAAATGTTTTGATACTGTTGCTAATTGCTTGAAGAGTGCGCATTTCGACAACACCTTAATAGATGTCGCCTTCCAAAAGTAGATATACACGCCGTAAAGACGGTTGCTTACGGGATATTCAAACGAAGCAATCTCGTGTCAGCGAAAAATCATGTGATCCATATTTTATGCAGTGGGTTGGACGTTTTAAACAATGCCTCATCTGCTATAAAGGTGATAACCTTAGACCAAGCAGCATCACCCTGTTTTCAGAGTAACGGAAACAACCTGTCCGCCCGTCTAGGGACCGTACTTCTCCAGGAGAAGTCCAAGTTACTATGGAGAGGTTCCAGGTAGTTCAAAAGAAGGTTCGCAAACTCAAGTTTATGTAATTGTTACATTGTTCAAGAAATGAACGATCATATTGGGGTTATCGAAAGGGTTTAGATCTTTCTCCATGCATGCATGCAAAATAAATGAAATGCTCCTCTACATCACATCTCAGTAGGAGAACCACGGAATATAATTGAGCAATCTTTTTGCTTACATACTCAANTTCCCCACCAGTTGTATAAGGTGAACATAACGATATCATCGTACTGGAATCCAAAATAAAATTGAATCGAAAAAAAGTCTCCCAAATAACTGACACATTCGCGTGGTCCATATATCAAATTGTGCAAACAAATGCAGGACACGTGTGGGGCATATGGATAAGCTTACCCGTATGAAATGTCAATTATCGAATGTTCATTCCTGCAACCTAATCGTTGCATTTTAGAGACATCTTGGCACATGAGAGTCAGGAATTTGCACACTACTAAATTTGGCGAAGCTATGCGATTCAGATTCGGTTCACCGGCACATTCGAACTGGAACAAACACAGAGATTTGATTTAACAAGTTAACCAGGCTTTTGGAAAACCCGGGAAGCCACCGAAGGCATCCCTGCAGAACGGGCGACAGTCATTTTTTTATTTCGGCACAAATTTACTTTTATAGGTCTTTGGTAGAGTTGCACAGCCGCATGTGAAAAACACTAACCCATATCTGGCCGTAAAAGTGGTTGCCAGAAAACGAAAGCTCGTAATTCTTTGGGAACGAAAAACAAGAGCGCGCTTTCAAAATTCGATCGTTTTAAGTGGTTTAGAAAATCTTATACGAAAGATATGCCTGTGACTTTCAAAAATCTAAACACAAATCCTCATAATCAGGATTTGGGTTCTTCAGGTACCTGTATGCTCTCGCGGCCTTAACGTTCGTGTCGAGGAATATGTTTGCTAGCTAGTATAGGATTTCATCTGTTCTCAGCAACTTGAAATGTTTCAACTTTCAAGATAATGTGCACTGGCCGCAGAAGCATTTGGGATATTTTCTCAATCATATGCATCAAGCGTGGTTTGGCGTTTTTAGATCGTCAGCAAACTGTGTAAATCTAATGAGAATCCCGCTGCCACGTTGAACAGTAGCTTTCAAACGTACATCCACCGGAGACATGGACTGGAACAAAGCATTATATGCCACCTGGAATCACGCAAACGCTTGATTTCATGATCAAATAATTGTGGAGTAGTAGAAATAAAAGTGACTATTGTTCAGAACCACGCTGCAAAATGCAGGAACTTATTAAACGGATGCTTCTGTATTCATCCTTGGGAACACTCGGAAGCACAAAATTTATCACAATTCGCTAAAATATTTTGACTTACACTGTCGGAAGCAATCCGTACGTTAAATGACTCCTCATGAACTTCAGAAGCTTTGAACATTTTTTAAACTTTTTAATCTTTTTTCCGAAGCCGAACCATAACTTTCCGTAATAATTGTAGCCAGTGAATCCACCGAGAGTATCGTAATCGCCATCTACAATTGATTGTCAAAGAATAAGCGCACCCTGTTCAATAGCTTACCCGGTGTTGTTAAGGTCAAATGAAACTAGAAAAAACTAAACAAGTTCACTGCCCAAAGAAATGCGGATCCACCGCATCTGGCACACTGGCCATGTCCGTTCCGTATTTGAGTTCACGGGCGCTGGTTTTTAGTTTTTAGGGGAAGAAATCAGAATAGCCAGGTTTAATGAATTTAACGTTCAAATGAAAGTACGCCATCAAGCCTTAGTAAATTTTTTCATACGTTTAGGCTTTCCGACAAGGGTTAGCGGCTCACAAATCAGAAAATATTTTTTTCATGGGGTACACGAAATAGCACCAAACCGAATTGACTGCATGTTGTTTAGTCAGAAGAGAATGTCGTGTCGAAGAATAAGTGAATATAATTCAAGGACAGGGCGCTTATCTTATACCTACTTGCAGCGCCCCGATAGAGAGGCGCATACAAGTCTTATGATGCAACGTATCACACAGAATTAGCGCTCGTGAAAATTTAACACAAACATTCATTTCCAATATCACCGCACATTGGTGGTGATATCTTGATCTACCTACTTCTGGTCACTAACTTAGTATATATAGCATGTGAGCGATAGAGATGTAAAGGGAACGTTTCATTGGGACAGAGAACATTCACGCAACTGTTTCAAAACTGTCCTAACAGAAAGGTGGTCGCTCTGAGTTACCGCAAGTCATTGCAATTGAAGCATATTGTACTGTCTAATTTACTGATAGCACACGAACCATATGATAAAATAACATCACCCAATAGATTGTGCTTCACTTCAACCCAAAAATTCACACCATTTCCAAAAACAACAACTCACCTGTGGTGAACTTCATTTTCAAACTTATCGTTTGTCCCTTTTCCAACGTGCAAGGTTCTGCTGAACATTCGCTAATAGTGAGCTCTTTGAGTGATCCGTATTGCGCTAAATTAAACAGAAATTCAGTGCTTGGTTCAAATTCAATCACCTCACATTACCTAATAAGTATGTTTGTATTGGCAAGATAATTGGCAATTTCAATAAAGATTGTGAGTGAGCCCAAACGTTGCCGAAAAGCCGGGGCGTCCTCTACAAGGATTGTGTACTTCTCACGTTCAATCCTCACAGCAGTACTTCTCCCAAAGTGCCTGTGACGGAAGGTCAAAAACCCTAACTTCCCGGCAAGTAGTCTGAACATGCACTACTAAAAAGGATTCTGGACAATTTCGGTGCGTTCCACTGTGTTTCGCTATACATACACGAAAGACAATCCTACGACATTCTAGTCAAATATAACTTTCTCAGAATCAATGAAATTGGGTGTGTTATCAAGGTACACTCATATTTCGAATGACGAGAACCGACGTGTCCCCTAAGATTTCAGGTGAATTTTAGTACTCCCATGCCCCAGGGTTTTTACGCACAGCGACTGGTTAGAAAGCAGCAGAAGGGAAATATGTTAATTTGAAGATTTTGAGCAGACACTAGAACGTTTCCTCGAATGTTGGCATAGGCAATCAGCTGACGATTACGGTAACCTCACCAACATCATGCCTGTGGTATAAAACTTGTTAAACTACGAATTGTAAAGTGTGGGATTTAATCAAATCCTGCTAATGGGTGATCAGACTGATATGGATCTTCACAATCCCGCACTGACGAGTCGTCTCGATTGGGGAGAAAAGGATTGCAGTCCAATTGGCAAAATTGGCAAACGAAACAACGA